ATTTGCGCGATCACGTTGTACACTGGGCGCACAATTTCGTTTAGATAAAATCCCTCGTCCACATCTGGCAAAGTATCCAAAAACTCGAGTTTTGTGGCCATGTTGTGGTACAGGAAGCAGATGCACTCGGGCATGAAGCGCAAGTTGGCGGCATCGTTCCATAGCAGCAGGAACAACGCCAGCTCCTTCTCCAGTTCGTAATGATGGTATCGATGTAGATGATGGCGATATCGCTGCCTACAGTGTTGGAGACGGTGGCGGTGATGTCAGTGTAGGTGGTGACAGTGGTGATGGTGTTGGTGTTGATGATGGAGATCGTGGTGCTGACGACGCTGCCTTTAGCGACGAGCACAGCGGCAGTTTTGACAATGATAGTGACCAGGACTTGTCTGATACCGATTACGAGCCCTTTATGAGTGACAGCGAGCAGCCCCTGATTGAGGCAGCTGAGAAACTGCTTCGCCAACCCCCTAGAAACAGCGTCGACATACTGGTACTTCATCGAAGGCGGGCACGTTATCGTCGGTTGCGACTACTCACTCGTGTCGTCGCGTGTCACTCGACATTTAGATGAGACAGCAAGAAAAGGAAACCCTTCGCACACCTGTTCCAAGTGTTCGCTTCAACATTAACTCTTTATCAGACAAGGAGTGTTCATGCTTGTGTTCTTCGGATTCTACTGCATAGCCCTCGCCTCCGCTGCTGTATTCACTCCCAACCATTTCACGATAGTCTTCGCGGCCGCGAGGAGTGGATCGACGACTACTTTCGTCGATTTTCTCTTCTTCTTTATCCGACGTTGGAGGTGTACGCCGTACACCTTCCGTTGCCGCGGCTATCTTTCGTCTCTTTAGTCTATAGGACACAACGCAACAGCAGTATAGATTGAGCCACCTCATAAGCTACCAGCGATCTAACGTACCTCAGAGCAGCCTTACTTATGGCTTTGCCCCCAGCTGCTGCTAGGCGTTTCTGCTTGCGCTTCGCTTCGTCGCTGGCAGCTTGCTTCTTCTCTTCAAATTGAGACTTCAACTGCCAGTAAGCTTCAATTAGGTTGCTCAGCTCCGTGAGCTCTTCAGTAACTCCACTTGCCCAGCGACTGGCTGCTGACTCTTGCTTGTGCTTCTTGATCAAAGCAGCAACTTTGTCTTGGCATGCTCTTAGCGAGAATGATGTCGTATCGACAGCATTGAGTTCGTCAGCAACAGCTTGTCACTCTTCGTCTCCTTTGCCATGAGGAGTAGCGAACGATTCGCGCCGGGTAACGATTAGCATCAGTTTGGTCAGATCGCAAAGCTGGCAACGAGACCGCTTGTTCTTGTCAACAACGCGAAAGGGAACGCCTTCGAGGGCGGCTTCCATGCGGTGTCCTGCCGACATCTCCGTCGTTCAGTGCGGAATGGTTTTTGACACGATCTTAGTACCCGTTGCCTTGTCAAGCCTGATATTCGGAGTTAAGCGAAGATGTACGCGGGCAAAAATGCTCTGGCAAATTTACAGTTTACAATTTACCGTAATGGATGTTCGCCGCTTGCTCTCAGAATTTTGTAAAATACGTGAGCAAAAAGTGTCTATTGTTATAAAGCACTTTTCCTGGAAAAAAGCTCTTGCCTTGACTGCTCACAGCTTGTGGCCAAAGGTTAAAAATACCGGCGCTCTTTTTGGTGTTACTGCCACGAGTAGTATTTTATGTTTTTTAGCTACTGTTTTACACAGTAGGTCCAATCCGACCTTCTGGGTTACTGTGTAGAAGTACTATAGTACCGGCGGAAGTACTGCCCTTCGACCTCTTAAGAGACTTGCACATTGTCGATTGAGACGACGGAGCTTCTGCCGTGCGGCTCCACCCGCTTGATTGCAGAGCTGTTCTGCTT